TCTGCCCTTCCCCCTGCTCACACACACACGTGCATGCACTCTCTCAAATAAATCTTTTTTTAAAAAAGGTATACAGATTGGGAAGAAAGAAAGAAAACTGTCTTTGTCCACAGATGACATAATCATCTATGTAGAAAATCTAAAAGAATCAACCAAAAAAACCTCCTAGAACTAATAAGATTATAGCAAGTTTTCAGGATGCCAGTAACCATACAAAAGTCAATTGCTTTCCTATATACCAACAATGTACGAGTAAAATTTGAGATTAAAAATGCAATACCATTCACATTAGCAAGCCCTAAAAATTCAATACTCAGGTATATATCTAACAAGATATGTAAAAGATCTGTATGAATAAAACTACAAAACTCTGATGAACCAAAGAACTAAATAAATGGAAGACAGAAAGACAGACAAGAAAGGAGAAAAAAGAAAGGAAGGGAAGGGAAGGGAAGGGAAGGGGAGGGGAGGGGAGGGAGAAAGATAGATAGACTGGGGCCCCTGGGTGGCACAGCTGGTTCAGCGTTCAACTCTTGGGCTCAGCTCAGGTCATGATCTCAGGGTCTTGAGAGCCAGTCCTGCATCAGGCTCTGAGCTCAGTGAGGAGTCTGCTGGAGTTTCTCTCTCCCTCTCCCTCTGCCCCTCCTCACTCTCTCTCTCTCAAATAAATAAATCTTTAAAAAAAAGAAAGATAGATAGATTGATTCCACTTTCATGGATAGGAAGACTCAACATTGTCAAGGTGTCAGCTCTTCCCAACTTGATCTGTAGATGCAATGCAATCCCAATCAAAATCCCAGCAAGTTATTTTGTGGATATTAGCAAACTGATTCTAAGGTTATACGGAGAGGCAAAAGGCCCAAAATAGCCAACACAGCACTGAAGAAGAACAAAGGTATAGGACCAACACTACCTGACTTCAAGACTCACCATGAAGCTACAGTGATCAAAACAGTGGGGTACTGGTGACAGAAAAGACAAATAGATCAATGGAACAGAAGAGAGCTCAGTAATAGACTCACACAAATATAGCTAACGGATCCTTGACAAAGAAACAAAGGCAACACAAGGGAGCGAAGAGAGTCTCTTCAACAAGTGGCACTTGTTGTTGAAGTGGACAGCTGGATGCCCACACACACAAAAATGAATCTGGATACAAATCTTACATGCTTCACAAAAATTACCTCAAAGTGAATCACAGACCCAAATGTAAAATGCAAAACTATAAAGCTCCCAGGGAATAACATAAGAGAACATCTATGACCCATACAGTGATGCCTGCTGTAGACACAACACCAAGAGCTGTGAAAAAAATAATTGATAAGCTGGACTTCATTAAAATTAAAAACTTCTCTGAAAGACCATGTCAGGAAACTAAGAAGACAAGCTACAGACTGAGAGAAAATATTTGCAAAAGACATATCTGATAAAGGAATATTGTCCAAAATATACAAAGAACTCTTAAAACTCAAAGCCATGAGAAGACATGGAGGGACCGTGAGTGCAGATCACTGAGTGACAGAGCCAGTCTGAGAAGGCAGCGTCCTGTGTGATTCCAGCAACAGGACTCTCTGGCAAAGGCACAACCACGGAGATGGTAAAGGGTCCATGGTTGCAGGGGCGGGGGGAGGAAAGAGGAACAGGTAGAACACAACAGATTTCTAGGGCAGTGAAAACACTCTGTATGTTATCGTACTGATGAATGTATGTCATAACACATTGGCCCAAACCAACCGAATGTACAGCACTAAGATTAAATTCAGGTATACTATGGTCTTTGGATAATTATGATATGTCAGTATAGGTTCACTGTTGGCAAAAAAAAAAAAAAAAAAGCCATTCTGGTGAGTGATGTTGACAGTGGAAAAGACTATGCATGTGTGGAGGCAGAGGGTATATGGAAAATCTCTGTATCTTCCTCCAAATTTTGCTGTGAAACCAAAACTGCTCTAAAAAATTTAAGTCTTTTTTTTAAAAATCCCCATCTCTGGGTCTGAGGCACCCAAACTGCTGAAAATGAGTAGCCTTTGATCACAGAGGTGAAAAGAAAAGCAAAATCCCCAGGAAAGAGGCAAGTTACAGTCCAGAGAGAGAGGCCAAAAAGAGAAGTTTACTTGCAGTACAAGAAAGGTCCTGGTTCCAGAGGACTCCAGGTCAGGAGTGAGCAGTGACAAAAAACATGACCAAGCAGCATGCAAATCAGAAGGCGGCCAGAGATTATGAAGTGAGAAGAGCCGCTTAGGGACGGTGCACGCAGAGATCCCAAGTGGGGTTTGAGGTGAACAGTCCATACATGGGCTTTGCTCCCTTGGCAGATGGAAAACTGCCAAGAAAGCAAGCAAATGTCTCTGAATGCAAGTCTGCCCATCTCCCATTGCAGGACAAGGGCTGCCTAAGATGCAAAGGCACAAAGCTCCATGTGCTGGAACCACAGAGACTAGAAGAGTTGCAGCCCCACACAAAGCCTTGCCTTGGAAGTGGAGCAGGGGGCTGACTGGCCCCATAAACACTGACTTTGTACAGACCACAGATGCAAACAATGGTGTAGTATCCAGAACACATAAAAAACAACAGAAAGTCGTAAAAAATACAACCCAACAGAAAACAGGCAATAGACATGAACAGGTAATTCACAGGAAAAAAACCTGTTCTGAACCTGTGCAGAGTTTCAACCTCACTGGTAATACCCATCTCTAGATAGGCAGACAGATGTAGAGAACACAAGCATTCTTTATAAGACAGTAACTAAGAATGAAGCATTGAGGAAGGTGTGGGAGACCCAGAACACTGTTACTGTGTGGGTGAAGTGCAGGCTTTGGTGACCTGTTTGGCAGCATCTTATCAACGTGAAAGTGTGCTTTCCTTCCTTCTCAAATACTGCACTTCAGGGACAGCTCCTAGAGAAGTGCTCACACAGGTGAGCAAGGAGGTATTTGCCACAGATGCTCACTACACCACTCCACGTGAGGAGTAAAACCCGAAAATAACCTAGTGCCCATCAGGGATAAAATGACCCAAATGTCACACCTTCTCTCATGCAAGATATGTAAAAGGAATTAACTAGATCCACAGAGCCACGTGTAAAAACATACACAAAACCACGAGTTAGACATCATGTTGTATTACATATTGCTCATGGACATGTATTTGTTAGCACAAAATATCAGAACAGACTCGAGAATCTGCTTCCAGATAAGGTAGGAGTCACAGCCCACCCTCCTCCTTCCACTGAACACGGCTATGAATTCTGAACAGAATATATGGAGCAGCTCCACGAAACCCCAGAAAAGTAAACAGGAGCAAGCAGGCAGACTGGGAAGAAGTCCAGAATTGCAAGAACCAGCAACCCAGCAGCAAGTTTACCACTCAGCCCCCAAGCCCAGGAGCAGCACTGACTTGCACAGAGCGCCACTCAGGCTGGAGTATCAGGAAGGGGCCCTGCAGGGCGTGGGGCCCCCACATCACCGCGGCTGTGTGGGAAGGAAATCTTCCCCAGCCCTGGAAGCTGCGGAAGTCAGACACAGCAGGGCACGTGGAACCCCAGCACTCCAGGCCAAGGACGGTAATTAACAAGTACCCAGCACACGGCGGAGAGTAAAGAGATCGGGCAGGTAACCTCACAAGGCTCTTCAGAACCCCTGGCCTCACGCCAGGCTGTGCACATGTGAGTCCAATCACGAACAGCACACCACAGCCTGAGGGTAAGTCGCCAGCAATGACCCAGGTGTCAGGCTGGCACGGGTGGCACCAGAGGCCAGTTCTGAAGCTGGAAGGGACCCTGAAAGCACGATACCCAGAAGGCTGGTCAGAGCTTGTGACCTGGACCCAACCAGGCTGACTGCCTGCTCAAACAAAAACATCAACATTCTCCACAGTTTCAACAAGACCCAGGGTCTCACAATATTCAAATGTCCACAATACAACCCAAAATTACTCAGCACATGAAGAAATGGGAAAAATCCCAACTCGTATGGGAAAAAACAACCAAGAGACACCAGACCAAAATGACAAGAGACTTTAAAGAAGCTATCAGAAACAATGTTCCAAGGAGGAAAAGCACCCACCCAGAATGAACAGTGTGGTAGGCAGAATCCTAAAACGGCCCAACATCTCCTGCCCTAGTCCCCGGCCTGAACACAATGTAACACCCTGGTAGTGGTCAGTTCTATGGCAGAGAGTCATTGCAAACGTAACTGACGTGACTCCTCAGGTGACTCTGAGTTCATCAAAAGGAAGTTTATCCCGTGATGCCTAACTAAACCCATAAGCCCATCAAAAGCACAGCATTCTTTCTAGCTGGTAGCAGAAGAGGAAGTCCGAGAGCTCCCAAGTGTAAGAAGGATTCAGTGAGCTGCCGGAGCTCGAAGATGGGTGGCTCATATGATCAGAAATTCGGTCAGCACCGGAAGCTAAAAAAGCCCCCACGTGACAGCCAGCGAGGAACAGGGGCCTAAGTCCTACAAGTGCAAGGAACTGCATTTGCCAGCAACCTGAACATTCCTAGAAGCACTCTTGCCCAGAGCCTCTGGAAAAGAGTCCAGCCTGGACAACACCTTGATTTTGGCCAGAGACCTAGTCAGAGACCTGGGCGAGCCATCTCAGACTTCCAACCTACAGAACCACGAAGGTCGTGTTGTTTTAACCACCAGACCTGTTACCCAGTAGGAACCCAATACAGATTTGGGTACCTGGCAGTGGGACACTGCTGTAACAAATATGTAAAGTTTATTTTGAGGTAATTAATATAAACTGAAGTGTCACATAATAGCATCTGGGACTCACTGATTGCTCTAAGGTAAGAACATTGTTTTCATTTCCTAAGATTTTTCTAAAACAGTACTGAATAAATGCTGCATTCCTTAATTCTCCGGGCAATGTGTTTCTTCTGTTTTTTTAGAACTATTGCCAAATTAACTGTGTTTACTTGAAAAAGAAGCCCAATCAGCAAATTCTAACTATTAAGTAAATAAACATGAGCTTTTTAATATCATCCACCATACACTTTGAGTTTGGTACACTGTCCTGGCTTCAGGTCTCCCAGAAGCTGCAGTATGGTGTCCAACAGCACCCGACTTGAGTTAACCAAGAATTCGCGACCACGTGCTATGGCAGCAACATCTGCAACAGAAAGATAAAACAAAGCATCAAAATCACTGTTATTTCAGAGTCTGGAAAAGCCTGCCTGAGACAGAGTATTTTTTGCTATTTTTTTCCTGAAGAGACCTAATGAAAACACAGACTAGCCCACGAGGTACTACGAAACAGCGTCATCCACAGAGCTGACAGCCCAGAAAGAGTAACTGACAATCACAGCAGTTATTAAGATGCTGAGTAATGTCCTCTGTGATTAGCAGATGCCTCGGTAGTGGAACAGAGCATGGAATCTAAGTATGTCTGCAACCTGACCACAGCATGCTCCAGAATACTGGATTAAACAGCTCTGGGCAGTCAGGGTTCAAACTGAGGTGGTTGCGTATTACTTTATCTGGGACCAAAGACACTAAAATCCACTTTCAATCCTGGGAGTGAAATCCTAATGACTTTGAACCACAATAGCAAACTGAAATCATGAGATCAAAAAAGAATATGAACACAATCCTGAAAAAGCTCTTTTTCTAAGTTTTACATCCTGGTGTGGGTCGGCAAGTATCATGTTTCTTCATGCCTGAGGCCCTGCAAAACCAGCACGGAGATCAAACCAGGTGACTGCCCGGGCTCCGTCTGGAATCCCAAGGCTGCGGCTTGTACTGGTTCTATCAGTACCACCGAACACCCATCAGGCTGCATCGGTGCTCCCAGGGTACTTATGTATGTGTTGGTGGGACCCTTCTTTAGCTCGGTGTAAGTACAGGGACTAAAGTTCCTAACTCAAAGGAACAGGCCAAACTGGAAGAGAAGCAGGGCAGCAGCCATGGCCTCCCCAACTCCGAGGGGTGTGCTTCCAGTAATTCACAGGTAGACGCATCTCACGTGTGATCCTCATAGATAGCTTTACTAGTTTAAGGAACTTTTCTTCTATTTTCAGTTTGCTGTTAATTATCAAGAATGGAGGATGAATTTTACCACTTATTTGTTCTCCCTTTGATTAACTCCAATCTGACGGCAGAATATAAAATTTTATCTATGCTACCAGATCAACTTTATGGAATCAGTCCTGGACATTCCTGCTTATTTTTGTCTATCTGGACTGAGAAGAATCAAGAGAGGGATATTAAAGTCTCCTAAACCTAACAGATTTTTTCCCACTTCTGCTTGCCTGTCCAGCAAGTTTTGCCTCATAAATTGGTGCAGTGTTATCTGGTACATAATTTCACTTTCCCTTCACTGACATGAACTTGCCTTCTTTGTTAATGAATCTGAACCTGACAATTATATTTTCTAGTATATGACATACTCTAATTTTAGTAAAGAAAACATATGTGGGGAAACTGAACCTTCAAGCATTTGGCATCATAAACTCATAGAAAGTCATTTTAAGGTTGTTTTTCAGAGGAAAGCCTTCTTTGAGCAACTACAGCCAACCACCTCCTAGAAACCCCACAGAAAAACCTACATCTAGCTACATCCTTCAGTAGCCAGTTTCCAGAGATGACTTGCCCGCAAACCATGCCTCCAGCATGCAAACCCTGAATTGTCCCTGCCCTGTGACTCGTGTAACTAGCAGAATGCAGCAGAACTAACACTGTGTGACTTTCAAGGCTTCTACCTTGGTCTCTTGCCACTTTTTCTAAGAAGCCCAGAGTCACTAAGAAAGAACTCTAACTATGCTGAGGCTGCCACGATGCAAAGACCACAGAAAGAGGGCACAGTGAGAAGCCCTGAGACTACATGAGGAGAGCTGCCCCCCGCGAGCCTCCCACTCTTCCAACCCTCCATGCTTTGAGCGGCCCCACCTGAGGCCCAAATAGACTGCAGAGTGGCAGCAAATCACCCCTGCAAAGCCCTGAGCAAACTACAGGCTCATAAGCAAAGTGAATGTGCTTGTTTAAAGACCTGAAGTTTCAAGTGGTTTGTTATAAGCACTAGAGAACAAGACATCACTAAGGTATCACTGAAGAAAGTGTTACAGAGCAAAACACACATTGCATCTTAGCAGGCAACAACACCCAACAAAACACAACAAATCCCATACCATTTGTCCAGTATCGGAATAGCAAATGTCAGTCCTGTACGTCACTGAGTATCAATAACTGAAGGGCAAACCTACCAAGTAAAATAAATATGAATTAACTCCTATACATGGCCCCAGTATTCATCAATCTGTCTGGGATGCTTATGAGACAACTCCAGGACTACAAAGGATTGCTAATGTAATTTTCTATTAAAATGTACTTATATTTTCTAGGTTTATTTTTAAAATTATTTACCATTATTTCTATAAGTTACCATAGTAATTACATAATTTAAGAAATTAATCTGGTATCAGTTATGTATGCTAATAAAAATACGAAGAGTTGAGGGATGCCTGGCTGGCTCAGTCAGAGGAGGGTACGATTCTTGATCTCAGGGTCATGAGTTCAAGCCCCAGGCTGGGTGTAGAGATGACTTAAAAAAATCTTGGGGCGCCTGCGTGGCTCAGTCAGTTAAGTGTCTGCCTTTTACTCAGGTCACGATCCTGGAGTCCCGGGATCGAGCTCTGCGTTGGGCTCCCTGCTCGGCGGGGAGCCTGCTTCTCCCTTTCCCTCTGCCCCTCCACCCTGCCTGTGTTCTCTCTCTCTCATGCTCTTTGTCTCTCTCTCTCAAATAAATAAATCTTTTTTAAAAAATCTTAAATACATATATACAAAGAGTTGAGATGTGTTATGTCTGATATTTTTGCTTTAGGTTGTAATAATTTTGTCTTATTTTCACCAATAGAAATAATAACAGGGTACTGGCATAATGACAGACATATAGATCAATGGTAGAATTGAGAATCCAGAAATAAGCCCTCATTTTATTTTCCTCAACTGATTTTCAAGAAGCGTGTCAAAATAATTGAATGGAGAAAGAACAAATGAATAATCTTTTTAAATAAATGGTGCTGGAACAACTGGATATTCGCATGCAAACAAATAAAGTCGAACCTCTGACAACAAACATAAAAATTAACTCAAAATGGACCAAAGACTTAAATGTCCAGCTAAAACTATAAAAGTATTAGAAGAAAACATAGGGATAAATCTTCATGATCTTGGATTAGACAATGGTTTCTCAGATGTGACACCAAAAACACAAGCAACTAAAGATAAAAAAAACTGGATATCATCAAAATTTAAAACTTCTGTACTTCAAAGGATGCTATCAAGAAAGTAGTAAGGCAACTGACAGAATGAGAGAAAAATTTTATAAATCACATATCTGATAAGGGACTGGTATCTGGATTATACAAAAAAACTCTTACAAATTTCAAAATGGGCAAAAGTGTTGAATAAACATTTCCCCAAGGAAGACATACAGATGGCCGATAAGTACATGAAAAGATGCTCAACATTATCAGCCAGCAGGGAAATGCACATCAAAACCACAGTTAGATCCCACTTCACGCCCACTAGGATGGCCACAATCAGAAAGTTAATGAAAAAATACTGATGAGTGTCTGGAGCAACTGAAGCCCTCAGGCATTGCTGGTAGAATTGGAAAATGGCCTGACAGCCCCTCAGATGGTTTAAACCATATGATCATGTGACCCAGCAATTCCACCCCTAGAAATGAAAACACATGTCCTCACCAAAACTTGTACACAAATGTTCACAGCATCATTATTAATAATAACAAAAAAGTAGAAACAACCCAACATCCATCAACTGATAAATGAATAAATGTGGAATGGTCGTACACTGAGTATCCCCCTGCCATACAAAGGAATGACGTGGACAGACCTCGAAAACACGACACTAAGTGAAAGAAGCCTGGCACAAAGGACCACATATGCTATGATTCTACCATATGAAATGTCAAGAATAGGCAAATCCAGAGATAGAAAGCAGATCAGCGGTTGCTTAGAGCTTGGGGAATGGCAGTATTGGGGAGTGATGGCTAAGGTTAGGGGGGTTTCTTCCTTTCTTCTCAGGGTGATAAAAATGATTCAAAATGAACTGTGGAAGTGGAGGCACAACCACATGAAGCCATCAAAGTGTATACTTTAAATTGGCGATCTGTAGAGTATATTATTATATCTCAGAAGACCTGTTTAAAAATAAATTAAAAATAGGGGTCCCGGGGTGGCTCAGTCGTTAACTGTCTGCCTTTGGCTCAGGTCATGATCCCAGGGTCCTGGGATCAAGCCCCGCATTGGGCTCCCGGCTCGGTGGGAAGCCTGCCTCTCCCTCTCCCGCTCCCCCTGCTTGTGTTCCCTCTCTCGCTGTGTCTCTGTCAAATAAATAACATCTTTTTAAAAAAAATTAATTAATTAAAAATAACAACAGTAACAACAGAGATACAATTATCATGTTTGATACATTACTTAGTCTCTGCTGTTCATCTCGGACCTGTTCTCTATAAACCTCTTATCTGCAATACTAACACTATACCATATTTTAAGAAACATAAGCAAGTTTCCTCTAATATTAATATTGGGACCTTTGTTTTATTGTTTGTTTTTTGTTTCTTTGCATTTGCTGTAGTAGTTTCTTATCAAGTCAATTATTCAGCTGTCAGGGGTGAGGGAGAGAGCCAAGGGCCACGGGCAGTCTCAATGTGAAAACTCTGCCTCTGTACGCTTTTTATGGAAACCCCCCTTAGAGCTAAGAGGATGCCCAGTCCCACTGGGAAGTGGCCCCCAGAACTCAGTTTTGCTCATAGTTTGGGTGATCTGATTTTTGTGGGACTAGAGAAGGATGACTTGTAGAAATCCCAGAGAATTCTCCCATACACAAATTATGGCTGATCGGAATATTAATTTGTCCAAACTACGTATGATTCAAGAAATAACCAAGAATGAACTGTGTCCCAAAATCTCTATGGGGAAAAGATTCTATGGACAGAACCAGGCCAAAAGCCAAAAGAGTTCTGCTAAATCTTTACCTAATTTCTCGATGCCCTCTTGAGCTGAAGCCTCAGAAGGCCACAGGCCAACTGTGACCAGCTTCATAGAAAAAGGACTAGTCACTCCTTGTACCAGTCCCTGCAATCACCTA